TCTCTCTCTCTCTCTCTCTCTCTCTCTCTCATGTATAATAATATTATTTAAATTATATTAATATATTATAGTACAAAATATATTTCTACAAATACCTATAATTTTTCAAGAATTTGGCTAATAATAAAGCTTAATGTTCAATCAGCGTTATAAGAACAATTTGCTTTAACGCATAAGAGAAATGCTTATTTAGAGGAAAAACTCATCAAGAATTTCTAATGTAATAATCCAAATTACTTAAACCTCCACGGTCGATTTGTGTGACCCCTCGTGATTCTTTGCTCCCTTCCGGAAACGCAATTTTGGCGATACGCAAATATATTATTCACGGAAAGGAATATTCTCACATTTCACTTTTACAATCCGACGTACAGGAAGCCATTATCTCGACTTAATGCCGGAACTTAGTAAATCCACCACGAAGTCGTCCTTCTTAGACGACTTATAGACCCGTAATTATGCACGTATGTCACAGGAATTTCCACGTGACTCATTCTGCCGTAATTATATTTCCTGAACCGGGGGATCCGTGCACAGTGCATAATTATATGGCAATTTACGTGACCGCCAGCATTGTAAAATACGAGGCTTTCGTGCTACTGTCGTCTGCGCGCAAAAACTGCGAGCGCTGCTTCTTTCAAGGTAAAATTTTATACGAAGCATACATTGTACGAGGCATACGCTGTATTAACATAATTCTGCAAATGTCGCATTAAAATTTAACCAACCACTTTAAGTTACAGTAATAATTAAATATAATTATAGAATGTTGAATAATTTCGCGTATTATATATTTGTTATAATATCTGACGAATATATCGATAATTAAGGGGGTGCTAAAATGAAACCCAAATTCCGATGGAATCGTTGTTTTATTGATAAAATGCGACACATCGATACATTCTTCACATACTACTACATCAATTTCCACGTACATCCATATACACATATAAATTTTCGTAAAATAATAGCATTTTAATTAGACGTCTAAATCTAATTCAAAGAATTCGACGTTATTTCTTTGTGTGTAATCTACTATATAGTCTGCAGTTTCCAATCTCGTAAGTATAGATTGCAGAACTTTTATATCAAGAAAATGTTCTTTTTAAATCTGAATCAGTGGATACTCATTTATTTTCCAGTGGCATACTTGGCACTGGATAATCAATGAAATTTAACTGAAAAAGAAAGGATATACTCGAATATAATTTAATTAAAATACCAATATTTATACGTCAACTCCAATATTATATACACTAAATTGATATATACTCTAAAACACACAGTAAAGTAGATTAGGGTTTACATTTCATTGACCTTTTAATTAAATTTCAATGTAAATTTACTGATTATCAGTAGCATAATTGAGACTGAATGATTATCCGTTAATTCAGATTTAGAGAATCGCCACTTGGCAGCTTAAGACGCCATATTGGACTAAAAAATAGTAAAATCCTAATTTAAAAATTTTTTGTTATTCTCAGCATAAATTCCAAGCTGCAGGTACGTATTATTATTCACTTTAATTCTGGAGAAGAATTTTCAATTCTTTAAAAATCAAATACACAGGGTGTCCTATTTTAATATCCCTAAATAACTTTTTTATTTTTGATCTTAGAAAAAATATTTTAGACAAAAGTTGTATGGCTTTGAGAGGGACATAAGATGGTCTTGTTAGTTTAACCTTAAATAGTTGCTTGAAGGTCATGTGAAGGTTACCTTTAATCTTTCTTAAATGGAACTCCCTACTTTTTATTACACATTTTTGTAGATCATTTCGAGAGCTTTTCGAAATACTATAATTAAATTTATTTTTATTAAGTACTATTCGAGTTATAAGGCTTGCAAGTTACAGCCGGCATTAGCCGATATGTCCGACTGACAGCTAGAACCTCTTAAATGTTGTTTAAGATCGTGACTTGGATAACATTTGTCAAGATCAAAGTCATTGGAGGTTGTACCTCTTATTTTCATTTTTGTAATAAAAATTACATTTCTACGTAAAAATGAAAATAAGAGGTACAATGATCTTGATCTTGATAAATGTTATCCAGATTATGATTCTGAACAACATTTAAGAGATTGTAGCCATCGATTGGATACCTTGAATAATGTTAATGCCGGCGGTGCTGTAATCTGTAAACTTTATAACTCAAAAAGTACTTAATGAAAATAAACTTAATTATAGTGGTTCGGAAAGCTATGAGATGATCTACAAGAATATGTGCAATAAAAAGTAGCGGATTCCGTCGTTTTAAAAAATTGAAGGTAACCTTCACGTGACTTTCAAGCAACTATTTAAACTAATGACACCAACTGATATCCCCCTCAAAGCCATACAACTTTTGTCTAAAACATTTTTTTCTAAGATTAAGAATAAAAAAGTTATTTGGGGTAGGACATTAAAATGGGACATCCGGTATATATGCAATATCGTTATTGCGCTCAACCGGTAAAAAAGTTGACTTTAGAATTCCCTTAAACAATTCAAACTTGTTCATTAGACTTTTGAGTTTTCCAATATTTCCTTAACTTTTGTTCTTCAT